GCGGGCGTCGTCGTAGCCAATCGCCGAGGAGGAGACGGCGTGCCAGTAGTAGCGGCCGTCCACGAGGCTGCTCGGCGCCGGAGTAGTTGGAGTAGTGGTTGGAGGAGTGGTTGGAGGAGTGGTGGTCGGCGGAGTGGTGGTCGGCGGAGTGGTGGTCGGCGGAGGAGTGGTCACCGGAGCGGCCGCGGGTCGGTAGAGGCTCAGCTGCGGCGCGTCGGCGGGCGGCTGGCCGCCGTCGGCGGTCGACTCCGCCAGCCTGCAGAGGCGGTCGGCTCTCTCCCAGTTCAGCTGGCCGCAGGAGGAGAGCGCCACGCAGAGGGTCGTGCAGCTGATCAGCGAGGGCGCCGACACCTGGTGGATCCAGGCGACCGGCTCCAGGTCCTGGTGGCGGTCGAACCGCTCGGCGCCGAGCGCGGCGGACACCAGCAGCAGCAGGGCGGCCGCTGCGGACGGCATGACCTCCGGAGACAGCGCGGGGAGGGTGGACCTCCGCCTGACGCACCACACCGAACGCTCGGGAATTTCCGTCAAAGGTCAACAAAACCACGACCTCGAACAGTGCGGAGTAGCTCAACTTCTGCCCTTGCTTCCTTTGTATCCCGTCTAGTATCTGCGTTTTATATCCAAATTCTCTGCAGAATAGGATCTTCCTCTAACTTCCTCCTTGCTTCCTCTTTGCTTCGTCTTTTGGAGTACGAATTGAGCTGCAGAACACTCCTGGGCTGAGTTACCACTAGTTCACACAAATGCTGCTGCAGTTGTCACTGGTAGCATTTCGATTTCGATTATTCCAAAACTGGCTGATGAGTCAAAACCTTTTGAGAGGCGCCACACTTCACCCGATTCCCATCAGGCTTTACGGACTTCTGAAGTGCCGCCTGGTTCGGTTGTTAGGGTCTCTTTTCCGACGGTCACGGCGCGACGAGTCATTCAATCGATATGTCGAAATCGTACTCCGTCAATGAAATGAGCCATAATTGCTGCAATCCCTTATTACGCTTCGATTGGTTTGAGGCAGCTTGCCACTCTGACCAGATTGGTGCAATTTGTCAATGTCTTGGTACGCTACACTAGCATCTGATCTGTTATTTTAGGACAATTAAGAAAATGATTTTGTCAAAGAAATAGAACCTCAATCGTATTCTTTTGTCGTATCGCTCATGAGCCGGTTCGTTCACAAGACAAATTGGTGGCGTAATGTTCGTAGCGTTCATGAATGAAGAAAAGTGCTCGGGTACGGTGTGGAAAAATAGCCATTACTCATCCAGGCTCTATCGTGTATGCAGCTTTGTTGATAATGGGTACCTGGGCTGCATTGTCCATTGAAGGTTCCGACTCGGACTCAGCAAGGCAATTAAGCCGCATTCCAACTTGATGTGAATGACTCTAGGTACGGTTGGCTCTATGTAGGTATGCATATGCTCGTTGTTTCATTTGTGTGGTTCCTGATTGGTGGTTATCATTTCAAGATACAGGTATGATCGCACTTGCATAATTCGATAAAACAATACCAGCTTCCCATGGCGTCAAAATCAAAGGGATGACATGCACAAATTGTTTCATTAGAATCGTGTTAAGTGCACATTTGTGGGTTAATTCATTTAATGATTTAATTGCCATTGATTTCACATAGCCAAAAATCAGAATGGGTATTTGTGTTAAACCCGCGAGGGGCTTGGGTCTCAAGCCGAACGCGCGGGGCTGAGGGGGGGGGGGGGTAAATTTTACCCCCCCCCCCCTGTTATCTCCCGACCTAATGGTCCGATTTGGAAAATTCAAACGCCAATCGAAAGATCTCATCACGGACAATGAAAACATGTACTTAATATAAAGTTTGAGGTCAAGGTCAAGGTCAGGTCAAAGGTACAAATTGCAAGTTTCTACAGTATCGGCCTTGCACCGCAGTTGCCGAAGAATGGAGTCATGGACTGAGAGTGATTGCCCAAAACGTGTTCTTAGGCTACCAAGACAATATTTGTTGCATACAATATCATTCAGAGGTCAAGGTCAAGGTCAGGTCAGGTCAGGTCAGGTCACCAAAAACAAAATATAGAAAAGGGCATGTGCGAAACATATTTTATGGGTCATTTTATTCATAGAATTCAATAGGCACACTCAATAGGTGATATGGACCCCATCTGGATGAATTTCAGGCCGAGGTCAGGTCAAGGTCAGGTCAAGTGAGGTCAAATTTTGAAGTTGGTTGTTAAGGCCTAAAAAGGTGTCTATCTAATGCAGTTTTTCACGGCGAATCGAATGGTGCTATTTTTGTTTCCGTGCGAGGTCTAGAACTTCCAAAAAATCATTTTTCAAAAAAAAAATGTTTGTCGTGACGTCATAAAATTTTGAATAACTCCCACATTTTGAACCAATTCTTCTAAAAGTTGGTATGTAGGTGCACATGGACCACTTCTCTGACAAATATCCCAGTTTTTTCAATACACGCAAAATTTTGGATTTATAATTATTTTCCCAAAAAGTCAGTTTTTTAATTGGCCCAAAATCAAAAATTTTCAAAAAACTGAGATAACCATTTGATAGACAAAGTAGAATCACGTATAACCTTTTTGATACGTCTTGATTCCCTTAAAAATGAAGATGTTAGCGGCGTTTGAAATTTTGCCGTTTTTTAGGCGAAAATGGCGAACATGACGTCACTAAAACGTCATTTTCTCAACAAATTTCCGAAGGATTTAGCTCAACTTTTTAGGGAACGTGTCAAATTGATGTAAGAAAAGGTACTGAAAGTTTGGCGGCGCTGCACTCCGCCGTTTTTGAGATATTGCAAAAATTCGCGAAGGGGGGGGGGTAAAATTAACCCCCCAGCCCCGCGCGGGTTAATGACGGAAAATTCAATTCCGCTAAACTGGATCATGTATAAAAATATGGTGCATCAGAAATTTGTAAATGTTGACATTTGTTCGAGGACTTCAGGTTCGTGAGCTGATGAATCTCTTGGCAGCATAACGGATGGCAATGCTGGTGATCCTGCATGCCAGCCCAAAGCACAAACAATAATCGACCAGATTTCCGTGACACCTCATTGGACATTGACTGAAAAGTTATCTGCACCTTGTCCGTTGAACCCAATCTACTAGCATCACTTTATGCCAACAAATTTTGCAATAACCAACACTTCCCTATAACGTGAAGGCCTATAGGGTGTGTCGCTAGTCACAGATCACGGTGCTCCTATGATTTTCCTTTGCTCCAAGACAACCGAAGACCAGCTGTACAAGTAAAACTTTCGAGAAATTAAAACCCATCCTGCCGGCCCAGGGCTGGTAAAGTGTTATGTCCTATTGACGTCGTCGGGGACACAGTACCAGTAAAAGTTCAAGTACCCGGGGTCAAAATTACCACATTTAGTAAGCTTTTACAGTAATAAATAACTTTCAAATAAAGCAGAAACTAAACGCAAGTAAAAGATATCATTGAATCCACAACGTATATCCCCTTTAACAAGGACATAAAAAGCCCCTATACCTAATACATACCTACAACATGGTTATGAACAATTAGTAGCCACAACTCACTTCCGTTAACAGCAAAACTACCGTCGACAGTTGCTAACGAAAACTAGATCAAACTAGATGATCAAACACATACTAACAGACGCTTAGACACCGACCCCGCTGTCGGCTGTGCTATTTCAAGCGGGGTTGATTGACGACCAGTTGTAGCCAGCTATACGACTAGACAAACGACTAGATTCGGGACCGGGGTCGGACCGGTTGGACATGGTAAATTCATGCGGGGTCGATAGTTTCTAGCCGTCGTCGTTGTGAGCTACCGATGCAATAGCGACACCTATTGCATCTGTTCGACGATCGTAGCGCCCCCTACCCTTTCCGGGTTCTTCGTCTGTTACGCTACCCGCTGACTGAGTGATGCCGTGACATTTAATTAACCCTCTAGTGCCCCCGGTATCATATCTGTAAGTCAATTTGCAGAAAATTCGCCTGCTAATCATAGAGGTGAAAATTGTTGAAAACCCTGCTGTATCAGAAGTGGTACGTCTTGGCAACCACCTGGGCCTCGTTTCATAAAAGGAATTACCATGGATGAAGTAGATTCCATGGAATTACTTACGGCGTTCCGTCAATTATGCCAGATTTGGCGTATTTGATGCCAATTCGGTTTCATAAAGCCGGAGACCGGAGTAATTCACGCCATCGAAAGTACGGAGCTTCATTTACGGCAAATGCTCGATTCCGGACCAATTGATGCCATTTGGGTTTCATAAAACGACGTAATTAAAGGAAATAGTTCACTTTCCTGAAATTAGTATTTTGCTATGGATTTATGATTTTTTATGCTCAAAATGATCAGAAAATAAAACAAAACGTTTTTGTAAAAAGGATTATTTTCTATATTTTAGTATAAGAAGAACTATATTCTATATAAAATAATGTTTGACGCGGAAGCTTATTACGCGTTGACCAATCATATTGCGTAGGACAAACCCATCGGCTGTAAGCAGCATTCTGATTGGCTGACGATGACGTGACTGCATTCCTCAGCAAGGCACGCATTCCTCTGCAAGGCACTGTTTTCGGAACGAAAAATGGAATATCTTCGTCTAGGGTGATTGCTGGGCCGTAAAAGCTTCTGATTTGTGCTAGTCTCAGCGCAAGCAACAAAACTGCTATTCCAGTTCCAAACCACATGTTAAAAGTGAACTATTTCCTTTAACGCCAACTATTTTATCAAGCTCTTGATATCAGTGGTGTAAACTACGCACAAAAATGTTGCGTGATTTTGAATTAATGTGAAGATTCGAAGCTAATTTTTAATATATTTTATAATGTTGAGCCCGGTGAGGAAGAAAGAACAGCCAAAATGAGAAAAAGAAACTGCAAATCTTCCGTACCAGTCGCTTTTTTGTGGCCACTATTCGCCTCGGGAATCGCCGCTGCGAGTGAGTGGCGCTAGTGTAGGTAATAGGATACCGAATGTGGCGCACATAGCGCAATAGTGTGCCCAGCACGTGTCAGTAGCGTCTTTCTGGAGGTTTTCGGTGTGAGGTGTGGGAAGTTTGGGCATTTTGCTGATATTCGTATTTAGTATAAGTATTTGATCTGTATACGTAGGTTTTAAGCTGGGAAAATGCTCTCTTTGGAGCATATTTTGAAGTACCTGGACGCCAGTGCGGAACAAGTATCGGACGGAAGTCGACGTTGCCTCGTTGAGGGGGAGAGCATTGTGAACAGCAACTTCTTGCTGTGTTGCGGCATTAAAGCTGAAGACAGGGAGAAACTGAGCAGTAGCAACAACGTGAGCATCTTTGCCTTGTGTATGCAGACGTCCAAGATGAGTGGTCAGCCACACGAGATTAATATTTTACTGAAACAAAGCGGTGAAATATCGACGGCAACCTGCTCATGCAAGGCGGGTCTGTCTGGAACCTGCAAGCACATTGTTGGATGTCTTCTGTTCGTGTACAGGTAAGCGTAAAGCACAATAATGCTTACACTTACAAAGAATAAAATTTAGCGGGGCACTTGACCTCTAAGATCATAATAACTAATAAGCAAGCCTCTGTCTCTGAGTAGCTGGTGTCAGCCAATCATTTTTTGCAGGTTTCTTATCAACATATGTTACATCATTGAATAAATGAAAATGTGCTGCATTCATACACATTTGTAAGCAGTTGATCAGAAGCTAGCCTGGCAATGTGTTTGTGCTTGCAAAGTGCAATTTGGTTAATTTTTGTCTATCTTTTGACAGGACTACCGTGGCGAAGCTGGAGGTGCTTGGCTGCACAGACGTCAAGCTTCGCTGGAAGGAGCTTGGAATGAAGGGGAAGGCCGCCTACGCCCCTTGCAAGGTGTCTGAGCTTTGCCATGTTGGAAGGTCATCTTCTATTGACCCTGTCAGAGTGAGTGAAGAGCGTTCAGCCGCGTTTTTTGACCTCATCAAGGCAGCTCCTTCGTGCAGTGTGAGCAGGCATGTACGCTCACGTCCTGTGAGACAGGGCGAGAAAGAGATTGTGAAACCATCAGAGATTCACACAATCATCAGCAACACAATGTCGTGTGATCAATTTGTGACACCTCTAGAGCCACCTCAGCTGGGAGGGGAGATGCTGCAGGTGTATGAGAGTAAGGTCGCTGTTGACCATGAAGCAGCGTGCAGGATCGCAGGGTTTGCTCAAGGGTCAGAGGAGTGGATGAAGGCTAGGGACCTCAGAATCACAGGATCAAAGTGTTATGAACTGTACACGCATGAAGCCAAAGGTGCTAAGGCAGATTGGGTGGCAAAGCTAGGTGCCATTGAAAGAGCGAAGGGCTTTGCAGGCAATGCTGCCACACGCTACGGCCAAAAGTGTGAGGGTGCGGCCATCCAGATGTATGAGGGCATGTGTGAGGGAGGAGAGTGTATCGTGAAATGTGGTTTATTGATCCCACCTGCGTGTCCATGGCTGGGGTTCTCCCCTGATGCTGTGGTGGTCAGGGATGGGAAGCCTGTCAGGCTTGTGGAAGTGAAAAGCCCAGTGTGCGGGAAAAAGCTGAGCCCACTGCAGATGCTGTCACAGAAGTCGCTGGCCTATGTGGACTTTGATGGGGAGAACGGTGAGCTCCGAAAGCGGCACCAGTATTATGGTCAGGTGCAGCTTGGCATGGCGATCCTAGCTGTTGACAAGTGTGACTTTGTCATCTATGGCAAAGACGGCATCGCCATACTCCCCGTGTACAGGGATCCTGTGTTTCAGGAGCGTCTCCTGCAGTCACTCCGCAAAGTGTTTTTCACAGTGCTGCTTCCACAGATGTGCAGGAAAGTGTGATTGTGAAGTGCAAAGCACCGAGGGAACATGTGTGCTTGTGTGTGAAGTTCAAGTGTTATGAGATGGGAACATTGCTGGCATGCACTGATGTAGTACTAACTCCAACAGCGATCATGATGTGTCACAGGCACAGCTCTGGTTATATATATGTTTCAACTGTTGTCATCTTCAGTTTTGTAGCAATCGTTTTGTGGATGTCACAATAAAGCATGAACAGAACTTTTCACCTATATTTATATCATCACTTTCACATGAACTTGAAGACATAAAGGCATGCACATGACACATGAAGAAGGCACATTCACATGGGTGGCATGAAAGCGTTAACAGAGCAGGTGGTTGACCGCAATTTGCTTTGCTCCTCAAGCATCAGCCTTTGCGCTCCTTGTTTCTTTGCGAGTCGACTTCGTGGGGTTCAGAACCTGTCATCAGCAAGGATTGGAGCCTGGAGATTTGTAATTCCACATACAATAATGATGAGCTCATCAATATAGTTCAGCATGGACCATTTCAGCTTGTTTTTCATCACAGCGAACAGTTTCAGTCTTTGGATAGCCCTCTCTACATGCACCCGGGCACGAGCTATCTCAGCAGTTTTTTTGGCCTCTGCTGGTGAAAGCTGTTTCTTTGCTTTGAGAAAAGGGGGCCTGATCAGCTCTATTGCACTGCTAAGGCAGTCCTCTTCTATTTGGAACCCTTTGTCAACCATGACGGCATCAATATAGGGCTCTAACAGCTGTGTAATGCCACTGTCATTAAAAATAAACTTGTCACTAACCCTCCCTACATATGCGCTGCTCACGAAACTGATGCTGCCACATGGTGCACACCCTACCATGAACTTGATGGTGTGATCACTGTAATATTGAGAGTATGTTCGCACACGACAGTTCAGGCAGTGACACTTCTCTACAACAACCTCTGTACAGTCCAGAATCACACGAGTTTTGGGGAACTTCTTGAATGACTTTGGCATCCAGTTCAGAACCTCCTCTTTTGAGGGCCAGTCAATAACATCCTTAAGCGTCTTGGCTAAGGCTGGCACAACAGCCTTGAACAGTTTTGCACAAGTTGTCCTATCAAGCCTGGCAAGCACCCCTAAGGATGTAAAACTCAGGCCAAGTTTTAGCCGCATCATGGATATAATAATCCCTTTCCTAACATCCTGCAGAGATGGCAGCTGAGTCTGAGCATGTTTTTCAAGTGCATCAAGGACTGAAAATGATGGGATTCCAGTGATGACTCTTAGGTCTTGGTCACTTTTAATGAATCCACACACATCACCTTTTTCCACACTATTGAGGGACACTTGAATGCTGGCATCAGCCATTTTTGAAATACCCTGCTGCAGCTCCAGAAGAGCCTCAGCAGCTGCCATATCCCGGTCACCTTCATCCAGCTGAGGTTCATCCTGCTCTTGCTCATCTGCACAGGCTAGCTGTACCCTGCCAGCACGACGAGCCACCCTGTCTTCCCTGGCAGAGTCTCTTTGTGCTTTCTTGATGTCCCGGTCGGTTGATCTAAGCGGGATGTTCTCAGAAGGGACTGCTCCTTTCTTCAAAAACCGCCTTGCGTGCTCATGGGCTGTAAAAAAAGAATGTCATTAATATTAAATGTCATGCAATGCCAGCCATCTCCAAGTCTAAGAGAGCAAACTAAGTAGGTACTCAACAAAACAAGTCATTCTCAGCAGTCGATTTCTCACCTGCTGGCAGAAAGTCTGTTGGCTTGAAGTGCTTAGAACAAACACGCATTGATGGTTTCAATTTCTTTCCTGTGCGTATAGCCACTTCCCATATTTTTCGGTCTTTTTCGTCCTTAGGGGCAAAGTGGAGGCTGATGCGTTGTTTCTTGTCCGTTCTCGAATTGCACTGTGGTACGCAACAGTTTGAGTTGCTCTTAAATCTGGCCATGGTATCACTTTTTGTAACTGAATACTGTAGAGTGGAACACAACACCAGAAGAGCTGGAAAACAGCGAACGAGCACAGATCCAACGCTTGAAATGAGCGCACCAATGGACGCACAAGGCAGGACGCGCACGGCCCGCGACGCGCCGATCACACTACCTCTGATTTCATTCCCTACCACCAGATGTCAGCCACTTCGCATTCCCGAGGCGAATCGGAACTTTGTTTATTCGCCGCGCCGCGCCACTTTCGTAGTTAGGCACTTCTGCTTAGCTGGCTTTCTGCTGTTTTTAATATATTGTTTTAATAAAGGATGGTCATCAATATCAATTTTGTTTTTTCATACATAATTTTTAAGATTTAAATTCAACATAATTGTTTTATAAATTCTCGTAAAAAATAAGTGTTGACATGAAATTGTAATTTGTAGGACGCTTGATAAATTACGGTAACTACGCAAATGTGCTTAGTTACGGAGGTGTAAACAATTCCAGTTGTGGCTTTGTGAAACGGATTTATTTGCGCTCCGTAGTTTGAAAGGGTGTGAATTACGGAAAGGTGTAAGTTACGGCAGAGTTTTATGAAACGAGGCCCTGGTGGCAAAATTTTTGAGTAATGATTTCTCAATTTCCCACCAGGTGATTTTGAAGAGGGTCAGTTTGTCCTTTGCCGAAAATCAATTTGAGATGCAAGTGTAAATTTAAGCATTTTGAAAACAAAAAATTAGTTATTTGGAAAGAAACTTGGCGTACCGGGACGGCTGGGACCACTTCTGCGCCTGCCATCTATCGGGCAGAGTATGAAACTACAGCGGGCGCCGGCCGGCCGCGCCGCGCGGCGCCGTTACCGGGCTATGGAGGCGAATGAAGTGGTGTAAAACCAGACGAATTTTACGCTTGTAAAGCAAAAAGCGAAAAATGTACACTCACCACAGTGTTCAGCAAAGTCCTGGGAACAATATGGATATAATTTGAAGCTAGTACGATGCAAACTGTTGGTTCCCTAGAGCAGTATTTACATACTTGTAGGAGATAGGACTTTAACATTACGGGAGCTTCTAAACTGCGCTCGCAAAGTACTTGATTGTAAATATTTTCATTTAGAGGCAAAAATCTAAAAATGTACAGTCAGAGCGTTGTTCCCAATGCTTCTAGGTACACAATGAGCATAAATTTAGCTCGAAATGTCATCACACATTGGTTCCCAGTCCAGTTTAAAACGACACTTTGTGCCGCAGAGCCTATCTCTTCCAATGGATGGCGGCTGGGTGGCGGTTGTAGTGGTGGACAAGACAATTCTTGAGTGAAATGAAATCATTTGCTTTCAAAGAAGAATTTTGAAGAACTTGTAATAATTGACAAATGATCGTTAATTACAGTGTATAATTTCAAGTTCATGGCAAATGCAAATATTTCAGTGGCGGCGGAAGCAGGGGGGCAAGGGGGGCAGCTGCACCCTAAAGTTATGGAAAGGGGCGCCTCGAAAATCTGTAGAGGAGGCAGGAAGTTAAGAGGTGCGGCAGCCATAAAGCTGAGCAGTGCGACACCGCAACTGATAAAGGCACTTGCGACACGAAGAGGGTGGCAATGACGTGGGAAAAGTTTCTTTTGATATGCTGAAGAGTGGAGGGCATCCTTATCTGAATCAAAGGCAGATGCTGCCGACCCTGTCGAATATAATCTTGCCAGGCGATAAAGGCTGGGAGGGCGCAGCCACTCGAGAAGCGCGCCATGCGGAAGAGGGGCGCCTGCATGCGAAAGAGGGGCGCCTGTGTGTGGGACGAAAAAGAAACATTTATGGAGACGTCTTTGAAGGCGATAGCCTCCGAACGCCAACACGAACATATGAGGGCTTATAGCGTTGCAGGCTCCATGCGACAAAAAGGGGCGCCTGATGGCCGATATTCGAGATGAAATTAGTTTGTGTAACATTTATTGGGGGCGGTTTGCCGTTTACAACATATGAATGTTAGGGGAGGTCCGAGATTGGGGCCTGTAAAATTGCACTGTCCGTATGGGCGGCTACAACCCTAGTGCTAGGGCGTATTTTGCGTTTTTTTTTTTTACTGGGGAGATGATTATGACCAGGAATAGCACTCTGCAAACTTCTATGGGCGCCTGTATAGGGGCGAAACTGATTTTCCAGTGCAGGGACGGCCATCGGCATTGTGGGGCGGCATTCATTCCACTGGGGCGTCTGCCAGTGTTGAAGGGCGGTATTCATTTCAATGGGGCGCCCGTTGGTGTTGATGGGCAACATGTATCACCTGGGGCGCCTATCGGAGATTGGGGCGGCATTAATTTCACTGAGGCGCCTATCGGCGTTGACGGGTGGTATTTATTCATCCGGGGCGCTTATCGGTGGTATAGGCCGGCATTCGCTTCACTGAGGTGCCTATCGGTGTTTTAAAATTTAAACCGGCAGTAAATCCAATGGTGTCTGGGGCGCCTACCGGCGTCGAAAGGCGACATTCATAATTCATTTCACTGGGAGGCATATTGGTGTTGATGTGTAACATTCATTCTCCTGGGGCGCCCGGCAATGAGGGGGCGGCATTTATTCCGTTCCCCTGGGATGGGCCCCTATCGGTGTGGAGGCGTCGCCGTCGTATTAGTTTGAAATGGGGGCACCTCTGGGTGGTAATAGACGCATTCATTTCGCTGGGACACCTACCAGCGTTGATTGCCTGTATTCATTCATTTCGGGCTCCTATCGGTGTTGAAAGGCGGCATTTATTTCACTGGGGCGTCACAAACCTGCTACTCCCACCATAAACCTCAGCCTTTTCACTTCACGTTAGCAGTAACTAGAAGTCTCTTAAAGTCTCGGCATAGAGTCTCGGGTATCATTGCGTCGCGTCGGAGCGATTAGAAACCGGGTTCTAACGATCGAAATTTCGCAGCTCTAACCAACTTGCCGGGAGGACGGATGCAACTTAAACGCAATTTAAATGAGTGTTTTTTTTAACGCCGAATGATGTTTCATTAAGAAATAATTTCGCTACTGTAATAACAGTACATACAATGTCTACAGTACAATGTCAACAGTACTTGAGTTGTTGACATATAAATAATGTTCTTGAAACATAGCTCAGCTCATTCTGCTTCCTCATGCAAACATTCTCGCAACTTCTGGACGTTTGTTTTCGCGATCGCGTGCTTGAGGGTTGGCACTTGGCGATAATCTGTTGCGCTGGTGTAGAAGTGTTTAAGCGTTATACCTTCTACTGTTTATCTATTTTGTCGCGTGATGAATTCACAAAAAAGGTCAGGAAGCCAAAATCGCAGGCGAAAGCGTGAAAATGAAAAGAGAAGGCTGCTAGAGCTGACGAAGATGCCGAAGCTTTCCTCGATGTTTTCGGCGTGAGTATTTCTTGTTGTATTGATACTTTTGACTTCAGTCACTAGTTATTATAGAGTTATTGCATAGGTATGATGATATAATGACGTATTATTGAAGTAAAAATTCACAACATGTTCACTAAGTGGCAAATACCTTGACCTTGTCAGTCTCTGGTCTGGTCAAAGTACCTAGCGTCGCCAACTGGGGGAGAAGGTACCTACTCCACTAATTAAACAACGATTCGATCTTGGGGTCAAAACGTAACGGTTCAACAGAACCCTTATTTTCGTAGCTGTGGATTTTGCGTCTCTTGAGAGCGCATTTTCAAATTTTGCGGTAATGAAAATTGGAAAAGGGGCACCTGGTGCCGTTTTAATTTAGAAACTGAAACGGCTTGACCGGTAGGTACCTAGTGCATAAATATAATGCATGGTTAGTTATTATAATTTGAAATTTCAATTTCATAACTTCTCTTTTCGTGGAGTTTGAATGTTTGTTGATCGTCTGATAGTTACATAACTTGACGTTTGTTACCGCTTGACAATACTCATTGCATAATTATCCCGTAATTCTGAGATTGAACTTTCGTAGTTCGTACAAATTTCATTACTTTTCCGATATCAACCAGTCCAACCCAATCCCATGTCTTCTGATGATGTCATGCCAGGTTTTCGAGCTTCAGTTTTCTACAGGATCTTTCAATTATTCTATCCAGTTCGTCAATGAAAATCTTAAAAGACAATTCATGCTATTTTTCAACGGTGTAAGTATGTCAATAATATATCGGCGTCGGAGTCAATATATCGGCCAGTTGCCAAATGACGGCTACTCCTGGTGTTCTAGGGCTTTATCCAGCGCGTCATCCTCTTCCAAACCTGCTGGTGTCAATTCTGAATCTCAGTCCATGCCTGCCAACGAGATAGACGCCGATGACCCCGGGACCATGAGCGGTGAGTGAATTCTTGCGACATTTGTCCCGGTGTACTTTCTCGTTTTAATTTTTCGTCACAACGTGTCAGCTGGAAGTTTCGGACTGACGCATCTGCATCTGTGGAGAAAACAAAACTTGATTCCGCTCTTCACGTAGGTATTTGCACTGGCCACTGGCATAGGTATGAAAATAATAATGATCATCACTAATGATAATACTGACCTGAACCCTGAAGATGAGCCTTTTCCTGCCTATGTCAGTACCTACGTCTGTCTAAACTTTTTTGTTTTCTTTTCCCTTTCTTACTCACATAAGTAGGTAAGCATTGGTCGTAGGAGACATTGACAAGTGAAAGAGCAAAATTACTTTTTAACACCATTTAAACTAATGAATGCACTGTGACTATCTTCCCAGATGGCGACATACATCAGACAACAGAACCGCCACGGAAGTCGACCCCACAAACAGTTAGCAGAAATGGCTCGATCTCCGGGACATATTCCTTCATCTGGAACTAGTTCGACGCTGCCGCTGGTTGAGCCAGTGGGCGAAGATGACAATCCTTCCGGCGTGCATGGTAAGTCCTTCCTTGGGTTAAATCGACCGATTTTGTGGTCTGGCTAATTACTTGCTTCTTCTACGAGCTTCTTAGTTCTTATCTTACCGTATGTTTCTCTATTGCAACAAACATATTTGGTAATCACCGGTACCAAGGGGTTATATGAAGTCACCTAGAGGTCACGGTTATAGGTACAAGGTCATCCATTATATAGGCTATTTTAACAGACCCTCTTAGACCATTTCAGTCGCTCATTTTAATAATAAACTCTAGCTATCTTTCCCGGCAATTTAGCTGTATGCAGCATCAGGATAACTGCTTAGGGCGAATGGATGTCAGATTTTAGGTCAACGGGTACGAATACCCCCTATCAGACCCCACATGTGTGAAGTTCATCTTAGGTCAACTTAGGTCATTGACCAAAGACATTTTTGCGTCGAAAGTCAATTTAAGTTCAAGATATGAGTTGTTTTGAGTATTTTAGCCTATTTTAGCCGTGATTAGCGCGGTTTGGTCGGTATTGTAGCACTCGCGAAGTCTTTGTCTCCGGTAACTTAAATTGGTCCCGATCTGATGCTTTGACCTGACCTCTAAGGTCACTGTTTCACCTAAGAGCTGAAAATTGGCTACTATCTTGTTCCGCTCATGACGTTCGACACGTTGTTTTCTTCGCGAAGCTCTGGCTCAATCAGGGCCAGAAGCGCTGGGTGTCGTGTTACCCCTCTCCCTTCATTTACCGCCGAGGATGGCGAAAAGGCCAGTGCCGGTGAGGGTTAACAATAAGTTCGTTCTCACTTAAGGCTTCTTTGCTTATATCTAGGTATATTTGCCTTATTGGATGGAAGAACACCAGAAAATCCTTAAATGAACACGATTTTGGAACGATTAGGAATAGGTACACTATTTGGAATAGGTACGCCTTCCGAATTATTACCGCCAAATTTTATTATGCGGACATTCCTCTTACGCCATTCATTTACATTTTTTTTTTAGAAATTTTGTCCGAATGATTGAATGGGTGGCTCTGAGCCCGGGTGTCCGTTAAGCATAGCTTGTTTCGTGACACCACGGACCCACCACCCGACCACACAGCCCGCGCCCGGTTATCCGGTAAGATTTTGACGAAAGTTAAACGTATCGCAAGGTAGATAGCGACACGGTCCCTCTGGGTCTAGCGTGGCCCTCTCTCGCCAGTTGCCAGCTGGCCTGATATGTAACCACGCGGGCCAAACAGTAAGCGCTCTCCCGGCCTCGAACCCACTACCACTGGGTTTCCAGACGGGCACCTTAACCACTAGACCACGAGGGGGACAAAATGCTATTCATCTCCAACAACCTAATCGTTTACAGATGAATATGGTGGGTCCAGCGAAGAACTACAGGCTGCTGCTGGCGGTGCTGATGCAAAGCGCCCCAATACTGACGGCGGTAAAGTCACCTCAGAATACGCTACGATTGAGATTGGTATCGAACCCTGCCATCCGAAGATAGAATTCCCAGTTTCTGACGGTCGACACTTCAACTACGAGTGGTTCAACACACACCCATGGCTCACCTACGATGTCGCTAACGATACAGTGAGATGTCACACCTGCCTCACAAGCATAAAGACAGGGCTAATGAGAGAGCAAGAATTCCGTAAAACTGCGTTTCTTCGGGGCTTCTCGAAGTGGAAAAAGGCAGGAGAGACCTTCAAGAAACACGAACAATCTGAGGCCCACACGACCTCGATGCAGAAAATTGTGCTGTCCAGACAACAGCCTATTACGGCGGGAATCACTGAGGCTTCACGAAAAGAGCAGCGATCGAACACTGAAGTGTTCCTGGACGTCTTGAGCACTCTCAGAGGCCTAGCTCGATGCGGCACCGCCCTGAGGGGGCACAAAGAAACAGATGGCAACCTCATGCGCATGCTTCAGGATCGCAGCGCGGTGTCCCCAGAGGTGAAAAAATGGCTCGAGAAGAAAACCAACTTTTTGAGTCATGAATGCCAGGACGAGCTGTTCGAGGTGATGGCTACTATGGTACAGCGCGATATCGCTGAAGAAGTAAAGAAGAGTGGGTGGTTTTCGGTGATAGCTGATGGCACAACAGACGTCTCCCGGACCGAACAGTTCTGCGTCTGTCTTCGGCACGTTGACGAGACGTTGTGTGCCAAGGAAGTGTTCTGTGGCCTGTACGCTGCTCCAGACACCAGCGGAGAGACACTCTTCAAGATCATCGTAGATGTCATGCGGCGAATGGCGATCGACATTGGCAATCTGAGAGGAATGTGCTTCGATGGCGCGAGTAACATGTCCGGTGCCCTTAAAGGCGTGCAGGCCCGGCTGGCACAGCAGCAGCCCAAAGCTGTGTACGTACACTGTCTAAACCACTCGCTGGATCTGGCCCTGGTAGAAGAGGCAAAGGCGGTCCCCATCATCGGCGACGTCATGAACATTGTTCGCGACGTATCAACGTCACTCAACACGGCAAAAAGGAGGAATATGTTTGAGGAGCATGTGATTCTGGGAGATGACAGTCAGTCGACAGGACCTGGACGTTCGAAGAAACTACTGGCTATATGCCCAACGCGCTGGACCGTGCGGTCTGCAGCGTTCCGTCGTTTCCTGGACTGCTATGACGCAGTAATGGACACCGTCGATGACATAATCGACGATAATGGGACAGCTCCTGACGTGAAAGCACGTCTGCGCGGAGTATCAATCCAGCTGCAGCACTTCGAAACACTTTTCGCCATGTACCTCGCCCTGCAGATATTTGAACCATGTGAATGTCTTGCCAAGACGCTGCAGAAGCCTTCGCTGTCCATCGGGGACGCGATCAAAGCTGCTAATGATCTAGTCAGCATCCTGGATAGCCAGCGAACGGACCAGTCGTTCTCCTCGCTATTCACATCTGTGAGTAAGAGGACCACTGAGTTGACGACAGAAATCGCCCCACCCAAAGCGCCGAGGGTAAGACGACCACCGAGAAGGCTGGAGCAGACTAGCCAGCCCTGCCCCCCGGCTGAGCTGGACGCCAAAGCTGGTCTGCGCAAACAGTATTTCAATGCCATCGACATCGTGTCAGCTGAAGTGCGGCGCCGGTTCAATCAGCCTGGAGTGAAGCGACTCAGCGAAATGGAGCGAGCTCTGCTAGAGCCTGGCCGTCCGCTTCCACCTGAGAGCGACGAAGTCGACGAAAACAAGCTGAGGTCGGAGCTCGAGGTACTGAACTCGCTCCGACCTCAGCCTCGCACCACAACTGTGGCGGAGCTGGCCAGATATATCGGCTCTGCAGAGTTCACTCCAGAGTATCTCATTGAAGTGAGAAAACTGTGCAAGCTCATCATGACAGTACCAGTGTCTGCTGCAAGCGCTGAGCGGGTGTTTTCAGCGCTACGGCACGTGAAGCAGTACTCAAGAAGCACGATGGCTCAAGCACGCCTGTCACATTTGATGATCCTGAATGTCCACCAAGAACATGCCCTGAAGCTGAACCTGCGAGCCGTCATGCGGGAGTTCGTGTACCGATCCCCAGCGAAGAGGGTACCCGCTTTCGGCCGCCAGTGAGGCACTCTGGGCTCGACCAAAGTCTGAGGAATTCAGGTACATAGTACATGTACTGAGTCTGAGTAGCATATGCAAACTGGGTGTGTGCCGCCTGTGATGTCTGGTTATGCGCTGTGTCGGATTTTTCGTTTACCGTGCGACATGGTCTGTTTACCATGACATTCTTTTATGCTCTTCTCAAACTGTTTGTACCGTATGTATCATGTCAATCAAATGACAAAACAATGAGTGTGTGTGTCCTGTACATTGTCAAAATACAGAAGTGTTTGGTTGGAATGGATTTTTTTTTTACAAATGCTTGAATGACATTGAGCCAGGATGTCCGTTCCGAAGGGCTGACGTGATACTGATGACACCACTGAATGCAATAGTGCAGTGCAACCCAGGCATGCTGCTTACCGTCCTGCAATTCTCTGTCACCGAGTTAGTGTTATGGATTCGGCGCCTTATTCACTAGTCCACACGAAGGTATTGGAACCGTGGAGCTCTTTTCGATATGCCTTATTCGGAGAATCTTATGATATGGTGATGAGGTTGTTTCTAAACGAACATTATGAAGGTTACATTTACGCTATGGAATGTACCTAACTATTTCTCGTTACATAAAAAGTGTAATTCTGAACGTGTTAACAGGTACAACACATTGTCAAACATCTCTTCACTGTTTGTGTTACTACAACCGTGTATATGGTAAGGGGCGCCCAGCGGGAAGGGGCGCTTCAATATCGTTTGCCCCCCTATCCTAGAATACCTTCCGCCGCCACTGAAATATTTTAAACAATGCTAGTGAACCCCAGTACCGCCGCGCGAGAAAGCAAGTACTCGACGCACGGTCTGCCCGCCACTTCTGAAAATGGTCCGCGGCCGGCCGGCCGCGGCCCGACACGGTATACTGTGAGACAAATGTTCAACATATATCATAGTATGTTGCAAAACATCGCAACTTTTTCAGGGTCAAAGATATGGACCCCTATTTTTGGGGATACTAGATATGATACAGTGGGCATAGCACTCCAATATTTTCTATGAAATTTTCGCCGCTGCAGCATACGGTGTGCCAATACCATAGTTTTCTCAGGTGATAAGCATTGCAATGGCCTGTGACTCATTGCAAATGACGATGGTACAAGATGCATAAATTTGTGAAGTTCGCACCTCTTGCGCCAGATAACTCTATTTCGCTCCAGACTTAAAATGTCATAACGATATTGGTACGCTTATGCCGCCTCTCATCCTTTTCAATCTTCCAACATCTAGCTTTCTATGAGTGGCCTTACATGCCTCATACATCTCGACTTTTCTAACGCTCATAGGAATATGGTTTTGCAACTGTTTGACGATGACAATAGTGAACTTTTTGATCTGCAGGACACTAGCAGACCATATCTTCTAAAACCACGTTAGGAATGACATGCTATCGATGACAAGCTTGCTGATTTCAAGGAACGATCATCCGTGCGAGCATTTATAGGTACTCGTGAAACCAAAAATTGAGACTTGATGTTAGGGACAGGAGGATTCAGCGGTCTCTTGCACAATTTCGATATTCCAACAGGGGTTGTGGACGGGCTTATTTATGTCTTGTGGGTCTATGTGTTAGCTGGGCATGGCTGAAGACTTGCATTAGCAGCCAGCCAGCATTTTTCATTCATATTGGAGAACGACTCACAATTTGTTTGCGATTCAAATCTCCTCCGTTCATCCCAGTAGTAAGAGATTGAATGTGGAGTGGAAAACTATATCGTCATCTTCAGAGGAAGCTGGCTAAACGGGCTCGCCATGAAGACAGACTCCGGACCGAAGGGCGTGGTTCCTTTGATTTCCTATCTAAGAAGTAGGCAACCATGCGACCCGCTGCCCCGCCCTTCTGATCTGGATCACCCGTGCATAATGTCTCGCCGCATCATTTTATTGTGCTGTTAAATGTACCTGTTTTGGTGTAAATAAACCATCTGAATTGAAAAAAAAAACGATTCACAGGCTGAGAGTTTCAGTCACCCGAGATTGTCCGGCTATCATGAAGATAAACCAACATCGTCTTTGGCATTGATTCCGGTCCGTCGGCAGGCTGTCCAGCATTTTGCATTAGAACTGCTTCACTTAAACCACTTACCGCGAGCCAACTGTAATGTCTTCATTTCTATATCAAGTATGCATAACGCCTCTACGTTTGAGAAACACGGCCCACATGTCTGAATTATGAAAAATTGCACAAGTGCAACGCGCCGTATCGTGGAAATTGAAGGAATAGAAGGCACTTGTAAATAGATGCCTATGATTAGCGTTGTTCCCTAAGCACCGACTGAAAGGACATTTTGATACAAGAAGGATGCCAATGAACTATTCAGAAAATGTTCTGATAAAAAGTGCACAGTAAGGGATGTCTTGTTGGCATTTTACACATTTTAACTGCCACTTTTATCACTGAAATTTTTAATAATATATATTTTCTCATCTATGTCTTCACTTCCTTCCGTGTGGTCTGATACCACTAAAAATTACCAAGTGGAATGCCCAATGTATCATATTTGATACAAAATTTATTTCCGAAATTTGAACTGCTAAAAAATATTTGACTCCTGTCACCGACGAAATGAACTGCCCTGTTGTTCTTCTCTTTCGTTTTACATTTGACAGCCACGCGTGATCTATCGCAGTTCTGGTCGTGCCCCGTGAGCCTGGACCAGCTCTTGTGTTAGTTTCTCGTCTCATGTTCTAATTGCCTACAATTTGTCATTCGCGCTATCGCTTCCCACTTGACGGCTGAGCGTGCTCGCCGCGCACCGTATCCTTTTACCGAACGTGCTGCGTGAGCCTTTTCGGACTTTTCTCACCAGTTTCCAGTGTCGCTTTCTGAGTGCTTTAAGATGTACAACCTTATTGTTCTCTTTGTGCCCGCGGCGGCTCCTCGAGTCGCTGCGGGCAGTCTCCACTTGAACGTCACCGAGTACACTCCTCGGTGGCGGTGCGCGGCTCCACCGGCGCCCCGATGTGCGCCGGTGTCAGTGAAGTGACGGAATCGTGCACCGCGCACGATTCCGACGGCACCCCCAGCGGGCTGCCAGAGTGAACGGCATCCCTAGCGGATTGCCGCAGTGAACAGGCACCCCCAGCGGGTTGCTAAAGTGAACGGGCACCCCCAGTGGGCTGCCAAAGTGAACGCCACTGAGCGCGTAGCTCAGTGGCAGTGCGCGATTTCGCCGGCGCCCCGACGCGCGCCGGCGTATTGCGAGTGAATCCGACGGCGCCCCCGTCCGCTGCGGCGCCGATGTGTCCGCCTCGGCGGACAACAGTGACCATCGACAGTGCTAGTGTGTTTTCTGGTCTATCTGTCTACTCTGCGTTCTTCAATTTCACCCTCGTCTACCGTTCAACATCATCTATCGTCCGGAATTCTTCAATACATTCATCAAAATTCATCTACGTTTTTCCTCCGCTACAATAAATGTCCCGGCCTCCACCAGAGGGACGACAAGGTCGGCGACATTTAATGGTCCTCCGGGCCGGATCAGGCCAAAATCAGAAGCGGATGGAACTTCCTCGAAAATAGAAGAACAGGAACAGAAAACGCACATTGAATGCGGTATCGGCGAAGTTCAGAAAATGAAAGAAACAGAAGAAATCATGGAGACTTCGACGCTGCAGCGGCCGCGCCCTGACTCGCGGCGGAGTCACGGCTCAGCCCGCCGCGCGGCGTCTCAGGTGAGCTGCAGTGAATCTGTCTCCCGCGCCGCTGCTGAGGCTCAGATCACAGCGCGCTTGAAGGCCCTGCGTGTGAAACAGCTGGAACGACTTTTGGAGATGGAGCGCCAAGAAGCGGAGTTAAGAAGACAACTTGAAATACAAATCGCCAAAGATGAAGCGGAACAAGTTTCTCTGGAGGCACAATGGCGACAGCAGATGAATGATCGACGAAACACCGGCAGAAGGGACGACTTCATGAAAGATGAACGGGAGGGACAGCTCCCTGCTAGCCCCGTCCCAGCTAGCCCTCAGATAAGCAGACCATCTTGGATCGACGAGTTACCCAAAGATAAGATACCGGCGTCAGAAAATGTCCAGAAGCTGAAACTGAAAGTTACGGACAGCCAGAAAGTGACAACCAGATGGATCTCCATCGCTACTGCCCAGGTACTTGGCATCTCATTCGACAACCAGCTACCCGCTGGGCCATACCTGCTGAACTCGGAAAAAGAACTCGCTAGCAACAAGAACCTGAAAGAGGTGACTCAAGAATCCTGCTCGAAAGAAGGACGCCTCCGAAAACTGAACCCAGGTGAAACAGCTGAGGCAGCAAAATCCCTGCAGCATCCCTCAGCCAGAAAACCGAGCGAAGACCCGGAAATCCAGGTGATCTCCGACTCCGACGCTGCTGCCCAGGTGCTTGGCGCCTCGTGCAACAATCGACCACTCGCTGAGTCAGACATGCGGAAAAGTCAAACTGACGTCCCGCAACGATTCCGTGAAAGGGCTGTGGCCTCCGTAGCGGATATCCAGGAGACGGGTGATCAGAAACAGTTCATCCGACAAGAAAGAACGGCTAAAAACTGCCTCCCGCCTGACCTGAACGACGGACAAGAATCAGACCAGAACGAGAAGGAAGAAACCGTCTTCAAAACCGAATCGTGGCTGGCGGCCGCTGACCTTGTGCCGCAGAAAACATTCACCGATCATGATGCAGATGCAGAAGACAAACTGAAGACAGAGACCACGAAAGCGCGACACGGCAGTGTCTGTATGGACGACGTCCATCAACCAGAACGAACCGTGTCGGAGGCCGCCAGAGCAGTAAGAAGAGATGGTCCCGATCTGCTCACACAGGAAAACTTACGGCTCGAAAACCAGATGAACAACACGAGTGAAGTGCAAAGCAGCACACCACATGTGAGACAAGCACACCCCGATGCGGACTACGATGACACCTATCTCCCTGTCGAAGGAGCTCTGGGTGCTGTCTGGGACGAAGAGCGAGACTCGCCGAGTGCCCAGTTCCAAGACAGAAGCAGACGACCAGACGAGAAGCGCTCAGGAGAACTGCGGTTATCTTCGACCCCGTGAGGATCGCCGCTCCGTATCGGATCACGGTGCAGATCCTCAAGGAGAAACTCTGGATGCTACGACACATCCGGAGCCGATGGAAGAAAGAAAAAATCCCAAAACCTGGCACATCGAAAGGACTCTGGTCCCTGGGTCGAGAACAGAGCCCCTGCCAGGACCGGACGGACGAGTGCGCGCTGTACGACTCGTCACAGCGAATGGAGCGACCCACACACGGCCGGTCACCGTGGTCGCTG